ATAAAATATATTTTTTAAATTCCCTTTATTTTATATACGTTATTTCAGAGCCTTAAATGTAATTCCATTATATTAATCGTCAATGTTTGGGTGCTGGGAACGGATGTCATTGACTTCCCATTGATTCGCATTATAAAAGAGTTTCAATTTACGCCGATTCAGTTTACGCCGGTTCGTCCAGTAACGCATCCCCGGCATAAATCGAGGGCCACCTGTATTCTGTTTTATGACGTTTGATTAGTGCTTTAGTTAGTTCTTTTTTTTTAGTTTTTCATTTTATTAATATGGCTATCCAGTTTCGGTTTTAATTTGATATTTTGATTCTTTTAGGTTAGGTTAGAATAATAATTTGGTTAGGATCATAGTATGGCACAGGAATTTAGTGTTATGCTTTTGTGTAAACTCGTGCCATGGCGAGATTGATTATCGTGTCCCGTTGAAAAGAAATATACAGCTTCGCTGTGAATCACTCAGAGGTATAATCTGCCCTCCAATCATCTCAAAAAAAAATACTAATACGAATAATATGAATATCCAAACCCAAATAAATACACCATTGGTTAAACCCTTGAGAAGAAGTTAGTTATTGTTTATGAAGACTAACACAAGGTGACAACAAATGACAATTGGTCATATTTCAACGCAGCATAGCCACCATTTCCGAAGTAAGACCTTTTCTCGGGCACAAGACACTATTCGCTGTTCTCGTTATAAAATTTCCGCATTATAATAAATGCAGTACGCGGGGTTTGATAGTTGGGGGCGTCTTCTGTGGGAGCGGCAACACATGTCGATTCTTTGATGTTCCGCCGTGAGATCGATAGCAAGTCGGTGCGTCATGTTTGCCAACCTGTCGACTTGTTTGAAGAAGACTTGATTTAACTCCTTACGACATTTTGTCCGGCCAGGTTGCGAGACTCGCGTTCAATCTCTTCCTAACCTCAATTGGTAATGTCGCTTTTGGACAGGCCATTCGAATAAATTGATTTTCCGCTCACAGATGGCAGCACCTCTTCCGCCATTTTTGACAAGACTTCAAATTAATCGAATGGAGTACGTAAAACGTGTATTCTTGCGCGTAAAAATTAAGAGCGATGTATATCTTAAATAACTATTCTGATTTTTTCCCTGAATACAGTAACAAAATTTGCAGGAGGACGAGTATTCATGCCCAGATTCAAACCAGACACCATGTGCCAACTCATACGGTGACGCTCCGTTCTAAATATAAACTCGCATGTTGGATCGTATGCATGCTTACAACTGCAGAAATACAGAGCAGGTTAGATGCGATCTGATCTGCAGGTGGTACCAAATTTATTGTTTATTAAACGATGCTGTGAGTGGCTTTCACTATTAACATCGCCGAATCATAAGTTAATTCATTAACATTACAATTGAAATGATGTAATAGCCTAATTTAAAGCAGAATTACAGCATTGCCTTTAAGCGCTAAGTAAAACCACGAAAATGTTCCGACATCAGCCGATCTCCGAGCTTAAATTTTAACTCAGGACCTCTTCAATACGACGTAGGAGTTCTAACCACTGGGTCTTCACGTTAACCGTAATATTTGGGCTGACAAATGATGCGACCAGCCATTTTGTCGTGCAGTATTAATAATGTAAAATGGTAGCCTACTTCAAATATTGTATTTTCCTAAATGAAACCGATCTGATATTGCAGCCATAAACCAGTCACCGTCCGAACAAACAGTTGATATCAAAGAGGCGGGGTCCTCCTTGTAGCGAGATCGATTTCAGTAATTCGAGTAGCATCGACACTATTGAGTGGTTCCTAGGCGAATAACATAGTTCGTGAGCAGATCGAGAACTTGGGACGTGTTCCATTTGCGCAATTTAAAAGAAACGGCCAGATTTTTATTGTGAAAGAAGCTATTAAGTTACGCAATTGAACTTGCGATATTATTGTTTAAAATTACTTTTGGTAAGTGTATGAGAAAACGTATCTCTGCCTTCTCTATTGCATTAACTTTACGTATAATCGATAGTGATCGATGAATCCGATGTAATATATCGATAGTGTCGTATCGTTTACATTTTCGGTGTGACAGAACTATTTTGGAGCGAATTTTGTTTTTTAAAAAAAGAGAGACCACTTTAGCTTTATTTTCAGATCACGAGGTCTGACAGTTAAATAGAGATTTCTGTGCGTCAGATGGCAGCCCTACTTACACTGGCATTATTGAATAATATTACTACAAATCTGATCTGTTTTGTGTCGAACTGTCCATGGGGATTTTATTGTGGTTCCAATGGGGAGTTTTATTGAACCTAAAATTTTCATTATTAAAGAATAAATGACAAGAAGTGTCAGCAGGGTTGTTGAAAAAATCTAGGAAAAAAAGTCACAGATTCCACTTAATTTTTGAAGTCTCCGGGAATAAAAAAGTAATTCTGATGTCAAAATGAAAGTCAGCTTATACTGAGCTACTTTTACGAGTTCTTCGTGCGGAGTTGCATTCGTACGTTCAGACTGTAGCATCTTCTCATTGAGATCGTGCTTCCATCTACCAACAGCCGTACGAAATATCCTTTCTGTTATATTAAAAAATCGAGAACGGCTGAACGGATTTTCATAAAATTTAATATGTGTGTCATAACTTTCGAGACTACTTTAGACTTGCTTATTATAGGTTTTCCTTACGCTCACTCAAAAGCAAAGGACATTTCATTGACTTATTTTATCCGTCTGTCTCGTCCTTCATTTTAAGAAGGCGTTTTGCTATATATCTGTGATATTATGAACTGTACCATCTGCCGCATAATAAAAGGAGAACGACTTATCAGATTTTCATGGGATTTCGTATGGGGTTTTACCTTTAACGGCTAATACAAGACGAAAGTATCGCATGATGAGAAAACAGTTAGCCCTTTCTCTTGTGTTGAAGGTGGCGACAACGGGCCCAAGGAATCGTATAAAAGTAAATAAAAAGGTAACTGTCAGGAAAGATCTTCAAAATCCAAACACTACAAGCGATTCCCAACGAGGCTGAATGATACAAGGAGACGCGTAAGTTTCTGTATCATACTCTTAATTTACTGTTATCATTGACATAAAAATTGTACAGCAACTAATTTGGATTCTTCAGATTCGATAAAATCACTAAAATTTAACTTCATCACCCAGAGTTTTTTCTCCCGCCAATAAAACATTTTTGTTAATTTTCTTATTTGCGTTCAGACCGGCTCTGGGGCCTACCCAGCCTCCTATCCAATGGGTACCAGGGTCCTTTCCTGGGGGTAAAGCTCGACTGGGGCGTGACGCTGACCACTCACACCCCATCTAGTGCCGAGGTCAAGAATGACTAGGAGGTATACCCTCTCCTCCCCCAAGTGCCTACGTGGCGTATTGCGGAAACCATTTTTTTACATATTTCTTTCTGTAAATGTAATATTAATCGACTTTCGTTCAAGCGACATCGCAGACCTCTGTTGCCATATTTTGTAACAGTGTTTTAATAATGAAGTAAAATATTTTCGTTTTTAGTATTGTCCATATAGTGTATGGCAGATGTATATGTACCGAAGCCATTTTTAAGGTCTTCTCTGACGTCAAAAAACGTTACAGTCTTACATGTTCCTGAATGTTAAATACGAAGCCTGTAAAATTCTGTTTTTAATGTTTGAGAGTAAAAGGTCTTTTACTGCAGGTAAGGACGACTTCATTAATTCTCTTTGTGATTAATTTATTTGAGAAAGACTTCCATTAATGAATGTCATTGTAACCTGTAATTGATGCTGTTTAAAAAGTTTCCTCAAATGTTCAGGGATGGTGACATCACGAACAACAAATAGATCCATACTATAAGTACAAGTTTTTGAACGAAGTATCTCGTGCGTAGCGTTTAAATGCGTAATGTCCATTTTGCTGTACTACACTCAAAATTGTTTTTTTTTTCTCAAGTTTGTTTTGTAAGATTGCTGTCTCTGAGTCGGTGCGCCACGTATGGAGACTGTAAGCACCTTTGAAACGTCGGTAAAAATCTACCAAACGATGCAAAAACGCATAAGACAGCCATTTTCATTCTCGCCGTCTTGAGAACCTGAAATATCACGATCTGCTGATCTGTGTTATTGAACTCGCATTCTTATTTTCAGTAATATCAGAACAAATATTTATCCTCAATCTGCTCTTCGTGGTAATATGAGTTCTTATCTTTCAAGCAGAGGCCAGACCCGAAATGATGGCATCAAACATTACACAGTTTGCTCATAAGATAAATATAATATATAAAGATATAAGAGCGTTTTAACAGACTTAACCCCCTCACAGCTGGTAACATTTTCAATTGTTTCAGACAGTGGCGTGTGATTGGCCTTCGGATCAGCTGCATGGATCCAGTCTCATTTGCTACTAGAACGTTCTACTGAGAACGAAATGGGTCTTCATCATCTTTTCACGTCAACTCCGTTTTATGCCTATCGATCGTACTTCGAGAACAATCGAAATGCCCATCTAGTAATTGCATATCGAGAAACCTCTCATCTGAATTACTTCGAGGGGGTGTAGGGGGGGGGACACTAAATAATAATAATAATAGACTTCTAGAATGTTCCGTCCAGGCCCTGCTCCCATTTACGTTTAAAGGTAGTCATATTTATTTCAATTTAGTGCAAGCGACACTGGAAATTAATCCCATTATAAGAAATTTAATACAGGCGAGCATCATATTGCGCCAGATTTCATTCTCATCGCCATGCCAACCTAACCTAACTTTTATTGCGTATCTGAACGACCAACACTGGCGTCCTAAACACTTGTATGTATAATTAGATGTATTTGAATTGCCAGGGTTTTTAAAAGCTAACAGTGATATTGTTATGCTTTGTTTCAGGATTTTGTACTTGCTAGTGAGTGAAGAAAGAACTGCAAGAAGGATAAATGTGGTGAAGTGCCTTTTTCACCATAATCGTCATCACCATCCATCATTCGGCAGTATTATCATTACAAATTTTGCGAACTGATAAACTCAATTTACAGGCAGTTAATCTTTTGCAGTGAGAAAATGCAAATATGGCGCATTACGTCATATTTGAAATGAAGAGTAATTCTTGTACCACAGATGGCAGCACTGCCATTTTTCTTAATTTGGCGTAATTTAATTATTCCCAAACGGGATTATTATTATTATAATTGTTTTTCTTTTCTGATTAATATGTTTTTTGACGGATGTGTGTCCAGACACAGACTGCAAAACTCTTCTCTTGTAATACCAGTGTTGCTAACCTACAGCGCCTCGACGCTAATTCCCTCTACAGACTACGCGCGTGACTAATGCTCGGCCAACTCCTTAACCTCACTTTATTTTGCTGCATATTTGTTTGATCACTAGGTTACAGGATTCCACTTGCTGTTACATGTATTTGGCATTAAGAACAAGGAACCCTATAACTTACCATCGTGATATTATAATTATAATATAATATAATTACTTCACAGCACAGTGTGAAAGGAAATAACCATGCTTTGTTTAAACTTGTCGATATTGTTATAATTTTCTGTTCGAATCCTAAAAGAATGGCTCATTATCTGACTGTTGATGCTGCTGTGCGTTTAATAACATTGTTGATGTTGCATTTCAGTGGCGAAGCGGAGTCCAAGTTGCATCAGGAGATGCGTCGAACAAGGGGCATTGCATCCCATTCAATGCCATTCGCTGTGCTGACGTCAAACAGCGGAATCGAAAGGTAGAGCAAACAGTTCATTGCAGACC